CTCTCTCTCATTCTCTCTCTCAAATAAATAAATAAAATCTTTTAAAAAAAAAAATCCCAGTATTACTTTGGGATAGGTGTCCATGGGAGGAGCCTTTGTTAGCAAGGGTACGCAGGGTCCTTTGGGGCCCCCCTCCATACACTCACTGCTCAAATGTCCCGGCAGCTCACCTTGGGAACTGATTTTTCACACAGTTCTCTTAGATACGGACTTATCACATATTGTTTGTCAAGGTTTTAAGGGTGAAACCACCAAAAGGGCAGGTATAGCCAGTGAGGCCCCAGGCAGCAAGCCCAGGGAGACTCCTAAAAACGTCATTCTTTTTACATTTTAAAATAGAATAAACAGGCTTAGAGATTCCAAATTTCACTTAAAATAGCCCATAAGTTAGAGCTATGTTTCTAATTTTATTAAAAGACAGTAAAGACGTCTTCTACTAAAGAGACACTTTCTTTACACATTTTCATGTCACACACTGAAATTGATTTGGCATCTTAATAAACTTAAAATATGAGTTAATTAAGTGGCATTTTAAAAGCATTAAAAGGCACCTGAATGTCTAGCCTGTTGAAGCACAGAGGGCTTTTGCCTTCAATCGGGAGCGAGCCATGTTTCCTGTTTCTTTGCAGGGAGACAGATGTTCAAAAAGACATAAGACAGAGGAAGATGAAGGAGGATTTGGGCACATTTCTTTAGACTGAAAAATTGATTACATTTCCAAAGAGAAAGCTCTGCTTAATCAATGACAGAGAACGGCTAGGTTATATGGACAGATGACCTCTATGTCAAATTCTTGGTTTTTAAAAAAGATTTTTAATTAATTTATTTATTTGAGAGAGAGTGAGAAGCAGCAGGGAGGAGGAGCAGAGGGAGAGAGAGGAGCAGACTCCCCGCCGAGCAGGGAGCCTGATGCAGGGCTCGATCCCAGGCCCCTGAGATCATGACCTGAGCCCAAGGCAGACGCTTAACCGACTGAGCCTCCCAGGGGGTCGGATTTTATTTTAAATGTTTATTTGAAAAGCATCCTCAAGCCCAACACACACACACTCACACACAAAGTAAAAATTCCACCACTGAAAACATTTACAATATGCAAGAAATGAAAGTCCTGCCGCCCCCTCCCCCCTCCCCCCAAGCCTACCACCCAGAGGTAACCCTGTGACTTTTTCTGGTAATGCTGATTCATAACTCATTTAACTGATTGAAACTGGAGCACAGCATCCTGGGCACAGGCATCTCCCAGAAGCTTTGTGCACTCGAGTTTGTCCTAGAATCGTGTGCAATCTTGCCTTACCTGCCCTTCTGCTCTGGTCAGGGAGGGAAGGAGAGCAGGTTGGTGGGGTTGCAGCTCTGAGGCCACAAATACAGGCTGGGATGGAGCGTGTCAGGGGAGGGTAAGGAGGCTGCCTGTTGGAGCTTTTGTTCAACACGGGGGCTGCAGAGCCCAAGGCGGGGGCAAAGTCCTTGGAGCCGAAGTTACTGCACTGAATGCAGATGGGAAAGCTTGCAATTTTATTTCTTAGTAGAAAAAGTTATGGCAGTGAAAGTAGGAATCATTGTTCAAGGAGGAGGAAATTTCCTGATTCATGACAGAATGCTTAGACAAGGGACACCTGGGTGGCTCAGTTGGTTAAGCGTCTGCCTTTAGCTCAGGTCATGATCCCAGGGTCCTGGGATTGAGCCCCACATTGGTCTCCTTGCTCAGCGGGGAGCCTGCTTCTCCCTCTCCTGCCACTCCCACTGCTTGTGCTCTCTCTCTTTCTCTGACAAATAAATAAATAAAATCTTAAAAAAAAAGAATGCTAAGACAAATGTTTTAATCACACAGGAAGAGGATCAACATAAAATGTTAAATTAAAAAATAGATACGTAATTGGGTACATACAATGTGTGATCCTGAATGAGTGAAATCAATTTCTCTGTTTATCTCTTAATGAATAATCAGACATAAATCAAAGAAAACCAAATTGAAATATACCAAAACATCAAATTTGTACTTTATCCTCACCTATATTTTTCCATTTTACTCTAATGAAAATGTATTTCTCTTGGAGTAAAATGTTCATACGAAAGCAGAATGCTACCTCTATAATAACTTAAACTGGTCTTTGAGAAAGAGGGACTAAATCGAGGGTTACTAAAGACGTGTGAAAACCGGCACCAGACACCAGGAGGAAAGTTTTTTAGCCTCAGGTTCTCAGTGAGGATGATTAAATATTTCCAGAGTCCTAAGTGATGGTAATCTCTGAATGAAACCTGGTAAGTGAAGCTTGGGCTGAAAATTAAAATTACATCCCCCTTCTCCTCACATACGAGAGAGAACTTGTACAGTGGTTTCATCGCCTCCCAGATGGCCTTTGAAGTTCTGGGGTGCAGGGGGCTTGAGGCCACCAGGAGGGATGGAAAGGGTGGCTCCCCAGGTACACGGAAACCACAGGGAGCAGGGTGGCTGCCTCCCTGGGGGTGTGTGTGCTCCGAGCCCTGAAAGCTCTTCTCTTTCACCAGGGTGCCCCGAGTCTTCTGTGAAGGAACCCTCTTTCTCCTATTTCTCCTCCAAGGTGTGATGCCTTTTTACCATGACCTCATATTTAACGTCATCAGATCAATATCTGCATTTCTCTATAGAAGAACGTGTGCTACAGTTGGGTGTCTCGGACCTGAAAGTACAAAGAACATCATGTTGACATGGCTGATTTTTACACTGACCATAACTGAAATCCTTCCTTAACTCCGCAAGGCTGTGTTTTCCCCCACACGAATAAGGAGCCGCATGACCCTTCTGCCCGGCGTTCTTCTGGGCCCTCTTCAGAGCGGCTCGTTGGACTGGCGAATGCAAAACAAGGCAGATAATTTTCTTGTTCTAAAGAATAGCTGATGATTTGACTTTAGGTGCGTGTATGTGAACATTTAAAATACGACTGCACTGGGAGCAAGAAACCAACCTGTAGAGATAGCCGGGTTTCCAAATACTGACATTAACTTTTGGTTCAGATTTTCAAGGGCCCCCTATTCTCCCTCCCTGCTCCCCTTTCTGCCCAATCTTTAATTTCACCTGTTCCTAGCTCTTTACTTACTATAGAATGGACTCTCAGATGCTTCTGGCAAACTCTGTTATTAGGATGGGATGGCGCTTTGTTATTAGATTGCATTTTATTATTTCCTTCAGCTCAACGTGTACCTGATTGATATTGGAGGGCTCTCCCTGTGGGTTGAGATTGAAAGATGCTGCAAATGATGTTTATTATTTGTGTGGGCCCTGCTTCCGTGCAGCCAGGTGAGAGACACTGTGCCGGGCAGGCTGAAGGACAGGCTGGCGTTACCTGCTAGAGCCTTCAAAACCTAGAGCTGCTTTTGTTTGCTGCATAGAAGGGCCAGAAGCAGCTGCTGTTCTGTTGACTTCAGATGCCTGTTTGGACGAGGAGATCAGTAGGCATTTAGGACGGCTATCCTGGCCTCTTCACACAGCGGGTCTAGTTTACCATCACCTCCTGGGGAAATAGGTATGATTTTCTTTTGGCCAGTTTTCTATACAATGTCATGTCATAGAAGACATGGCTTCCACTAGAGGTCAAGTCTCAAAGTACACTGGCACGTCAATTGTTAACTAGCCTTTAACAGAGTATGAGTGGATTGCACAAGCTTTTATTTCTGAGCAGAGTGTGGGAGGCGTGATGCCAGCCTGCCCGGCAGGAAGCTCTCCAGGGCCGAGAGATCCCTAGACCCTCACTAATAATTCCACGCATTGCCAGTGTAGCGACTCTCATTGTCTTAGCGAGCCCATGTAGAATAGTCAAATGGAACAAAAACTGTTTTGGAGGCAAACCGTAATAAAACACATGTGAAAAGAAAAAGAAAGAAAAAGAAAAACCCCAAACCTCTTACCCCTAAATTCCCATGATATCATTTGAAATCTAGGGCTAAAACTTCATTTTTCTTTCTGTCCCTCTTTTATTTCCAGTGTCCTGGGAAGAAGTCCAGAGCATCAAGCACCTTAACTCTGTGTGATTTAGGATGTGCTCATGCATGTAACACAGAGAACAGGGTTTTGAGTAAGAATTTAAAACACAGAAAAAAACCCAACTTGAATGTGGGCATAGCCCACTGGCCACTTCCACTTGAAATCGAGCATGCTTCCGAGAAGGCAAAGTGCTGGTTGGGAGCAGTGCTGAAGGACTTACCAAACTCCAAGTCTTTGATGTTAGAGTGGAAGACAATTTCTTCGTTTACCATGAGTTCTACCACATTCCAGTCTTCTATCTTCTCTAGGATGACCTTGTGTCCATCTCTGGTCAACACAGCTGCAAAAGATGAAGACGGATGTGGGTAGCATGGGGACAGGCTCTAGATTAACCTGATGTGCAGATGTCTTCATGGATGGTGGCAGCTGACTTGTTCTCCAGTCGCCCCTGGCTTAACTCAGCTGCGCTGGTGGGTACCTACCTGGCGCTGGCCCAGATGTGCCCTCATCTTTGCTGGCAAGTGCAGCCAGGGACCTGAGCAATTCAGGTTTTGGTTACAATTTGCCTCAGACCCATAGGATGTGTGAAAAATATGAGATGTCTCTAGGAAGAGTTTTTGAACTTTTATCATAGAGATGATACTCAGTGTTGGAAGGCATGTGGGGAATCAGGTGACTTCTTATCCCGTGGGTGGAAAAATAAATTGGTCACCTTTCTGGAGGTAATTTGGCAGTACAGACTGAAAGCCTCAAAAGCCTCAAGAAAATGTAGAATTACAAAATGAACTAAACTCTGGCCCGGGAAATTGCACTTATAAGAAAGCCTCCTCAGGAAAAATAAAAAATTCAGGCAGACTTTTGTAACAAGATGTTCCTTTCTGCAGTATTACAATAGAAAATACTTTGAATAACCTACTGTCCTAATCAGAAGAGGATGGTCAAGCAAATGATGGTGGGTCCATATGATGAGGTTTTATTCAAACACTTCAAAAGATGTTTATGAATTTTTTAAATAGCAAGAAAAATATTTGTAACATAAGCAAGCAATCAGGGTATATATATATAGTATCTATGAAAATATATCTTTAATACTAATTAAAATATGTATATGTAATAGGAAAAGAAAAGGAAACACTCAGTGGGTATATCTCTGTGGTAATAGTATGTGAAACCTCTTCCTTTTTATTCTTTCGGCATTTTCCAGATTTTCTATAATGATAAGAAACAAAGTGCCTTTTTTTTTTTTTTTAAAGCTAATGAGCTAAACTTTGGGAGCTGCTTTTTGGTTATCACTTCTCTAGAGATCAGCCATGGAAAAGTTTTAGATCTATCCTCTATTGTGGAAATCCAAAAATATATGCATTTAGGTGAAATGATGTGCATTGACCATCTTGGGGTTCTGTAGGGTTCTCTAACGTGTCTCTCCTCAGTTTTCTTAATATGTCCACCACGTAACATTGGTGGTAGAATCAGTGTGCTAAACCACCGTCTTGGATGGTCTTCATACATTGGTGAGAATTTTGGTTAAGATGGGAAGAGGAATCAGAGGAAGGTCATGTTTTGTTTTGTTTTTTTAAAGTCTTAGAATTTCAATCAGTCTTATGTGCAGAAAAGCAGACAGTTATGTCAGTTAATTGCATTTAATTACAGAGACAACTGCTGTTTTAAAACGTTGGCGTGTCCACTTCTTCATCTTTCAATCAGTTCAAGAACATCCAGCCCCAACTGTGAACATTTTAATTGCGTGATTTTAATTTCACTTCTGGAAAGGAACTTCAGAGAGTAACTCAGTGAGGATCTCCATTAACAAGATAGCGCTCCTCAGGCACCCAGTGGTGGCCCTAATTGACCCTGCATCAGCTAACGCCTCTCTCTACGGAACACCCACCTCTTCTTCTCTGGCATATTTATGTTATTGTATCCTGTTTAAGTGTCCTGTCTTAAACATCTTTGGAGGAAGGCACTCAGCTTGGACCAATGACTTGTTTAAATGAAGTGGTCCATGCAGTTTGGGATGGCCAGTGGATCTGGGGATCAGACACTCTCCCAACAGCACCCCCTCAGGAGTGGGGACGTGTCACCCGAGAGGGAAAAGCTGCAGGTGAGTGGGTGGGAGGCAATTTGGCCTCCAGGACCTTGGCTTTGCTTTGTCAGAAGATGCTCCTGGGAAATGGACTTCAATTTGATAGGAAGAAATCAGGAACAAACGAGCCTCTCCATTCCCACCCCATCTCTGGAGACAAGGTGTTGCCTCTATCCTACTCACACACAACACCCACTCTGTAAGGCCTGGGGGTTCTGGAGAGAAGGAGGCACGGGTTCTGTGTGGCCCACCGTGACTGCAGTGTAAGTGAGGACGGGCTCTGCAGGAGGAGCCCCTGAGAAGCTGTGCACCACGCGGCCCGCCACAGCGCTTTCCTTTCGCACAGGGCAGGGCCCCGTCTGACCGAGTCTCATGGAGCACCTGGGTTTGGGGTTTGCTTTATGACAACAGCAGTCCTCCTTCATGGCCAAGTGTATCTAAGAAACAGGACTCGATGCACCAAATAACTTACCCTATGGAAGTCGGTGGTGCCAAATAATGTGAGTCTGCCTCATACCTGAGCCAACGAAGCCCGACCGGAAGATATCCTCTGAAGAGACTATATCACCCTTCACTTCACCTTCTATATGGTTCGCAAAGCATGGGCTCTCGGGCCCTTTAAGGGCACATGTCTCCCTCACTGACCATAAACTACCCCACCCCCAAACCCAGTGCCTGGTGTTAAAACAGCTTGTTAAATAAATGAGCTCAATGTAATGGTGCTGGCTACCTCCAATGACTCTTTTGGACACTGAGTGAACTAAGTCTGATTCTTATGAAAGCGATGAGCCACCTCAGAGTCCACATCCTATATTCATCCTCAGGACGCCTGTCCCCTTCTCATCCGTCCAGGCTGTGCCGAGCCCAGCTACAGGGTGGTCAGCGCGGGCTTAAGGGATCAAACTTGGAGAAGCACCAGAATTCCTGCAGCTCATCCAAATGCCACCTCTCTACATGGAGGCCCCATTTTTTCCTACGAGCTCCTATGGGGTTGTCTAGTCAAAGAAAGGTCAGATAAATAGACTCCATGCAACAAAGTCTTTCCAAAGGCAGTGGCTAAACTCCAGCATAAATCAACCAGAAGCTGTAAGGCCACCCACAGAATGCCTGCCTCTTTGAAGTGGCACCTCATTCTTCAAGGGGGATCTGGGTAAAATGAAGGAACACGGAAAAGCCTCCCTCTTCTCAGCACAGGCACCATCTGGGAGTGATTTAAACACAGCTAGCTCGGAAGTCACAGCAAACAGACAGGCTGGCATCTCCCCCTCCTCTGCTCGGCCCAGTTGCAGAGCTGATGACCATTAATGTGTGCAGCTAATGCGGAGCTAGGGACGGGAGAACGGAACAGAGAGCATCTTAGCTAAATAAGGGTGGATCCTATCTTTCTGGGTCGGTTTCAATTCCTTTTCGTTCCTTTTAGCAGGTCATTTGACAGACTTCATTCGGGACAGCAGACAAGGAGCTACGATGGCCAGGGAATTACTTTGGACTTGCTGTTAAGCATTAGATAGTTTAATCTCATCAATATTGAGGCCATAGTAGAGACATTTTTGCTGAACTATTATAATTTGTGGGTAATAAGGAATGAACATTTTCAGATTCCTTAAGGCACGGTAAGTTCAGGAAAGATCAGGCATATTTCCAAAGCCAGCAAGGCTTCGGGACATGCTAAAGGGCTATGATTTTCAAAGAAACGTACAGAACTGAGATGCAGATTTTACAGAGGAGGACCTGCAAATACACCACTCTGTGCTTGGTGTGATTGACTCTAAAGTGGTGGAGGGAGTGGGGGACAGGGAGAGGAGCAGATCCTTGCTTTTGTTAGCATCCTGGCATTTGTCAGCAGCCCTCAGGAAATGCTGGCTGCTGACATTATATGAATTATCATTCAGGAATACACAAACTAACTTTAAAAATCAACCACCTGCTGGTAGCTTGCAATGCTCTTCTCCTTCAACCACAAAAATTCTCCCCTTGATCTTCTCAAGATACTCCTTCCCCTCCCCTACTGTGGGAAGAGCTGCTTATGCTCTTGGCTTCCTCATCTCTCCCTGCTTTTCCACCTCCTGCAGGTGGAGGCTTCGGCCCACCTTCTCTTGACCCTGTGCTCTCAGAGGTGGGGAGCCATTAGCGCACTCAGTGGCTCACTCAGTTCTCCCCGCCCCTCTTAGCAGATCGACACTCGGACCTATCTCCTTTCTTACTTCTTTTGTTTTTTGTTTTTTGTTTTTAAAGATTTTATTTATTTATTTGCAAGAGAGAGAATGAGAGACAGAGAGCATGAGAGGGAGGAGGGTCAGAGGGAGAAGCAG